ATTGTTGAAAATATATAATCTTGGACCCATGATTTTATTTGAGCATATGGTTGTTGTTTTCAGATACTGTACTTCTAGAATATTACAAATGTTCACTTATAGTTAATTCTACAGTCTCATTGGGTTACTCCATTTTTATCAGCCCCGTCTTTTTCTACCTTGTTCATCCAATCGTTGCAGCCATACTCAGTCTTTAACTCTTTCCATAAAACATACACAGCAGGGATATAATAGAATATTAAAAACTCTACCCACTGGTAGAACTGGATTAAGCAAGAGGGGTTGGGTCTGCTGCTCCTAAACAAAGGATTCTGCAGTAAGAGCAAAGCCCAAATACCCACACCTCACCTAATCTCCACATGAAGTCCACCTGTTTCTCTGACACATCTTCTACCTGGTTCCTAGCTTGTAGTCTGGTAGTAATAGAGCCCAAGCACAACAAAGACTGGGACTTAGGCCTCTCAGTGAAGTTCAGCCAGCCTCCTCCTCCAACCAGATTCTGCTTCCACTAGCTGTGGTACTCACTGGCACAAAGCTCTCTGATTTATGTATCTGAAAACCCAGTGAAGACAAGCACTGCTGCTCCTTTGAAATCCTGTCTACCCTTGATGCAGATTCTACCGATTTGATTTAGCCTTGCTTTGTAGCCATGGTCGTTGATATTGCTGTTTTGCCTGAGATGGGCAGGAATGAAGATTTGGGTTGAAGGGGAATGTTTTGCTGCCCCACTTTGTTTTTCACAGCCTGTGACTCAGAGCCCTTGCTGGTCTCCCACTTCTGCTCCGAGCACACAGCATACTACAAAGCCACCTTAAGTAAGCCAAACTCTTATTTAATAAATAACTGTACAGACTGCCATCAAATAAAAGCCAAATGTTTTGCTTTTACGTCTCCCTCTCTCACATATACCTATACATAAGCTCTTGCCAGACAAATTTTAAATAACTCACTTTATATTTACACATTTTAAGTTTAAAAGCTACAATGTTTTTATGTATTATAGCTTCAGTTCAGTCCCTGAAGGGGAAAGACAGATATTGAACATTGCTGCTCTCTCTGTGTCAGGTGTTTCAGAGAGGTGTCTGCTGATAGCACATCCTCTAACTCTGAAAATATGATACCAGATGCACCACCACCCCTAAAAGGGAAAAAAAAAAAAAAACTTACTCTAAATATCAAGATAATTTGTAGAAAGGCTATATGGTTAAAAAGCAGTTTGCCCGGGCTTAAGGAAATGAAATAAGGGAGAAAGCAAGTGCAAAGGACACTGAATTTCAAGTAAGAAAGGGCTCAAACACTTTAAAATCAAAAATAATCTGTGTACCCTAGAGCTTGGAGACTTGTACTCAGCAGATCACAAATCTGCAGCCATGTGTCCCTGAACAACTCAAGAAGATGACTCAAGAGGATTACCTGTTGGTACAGGCTTTTAATGCCAACAGTGTGTCTAGTTTTGAAGGCAGGTGCCTTCTTCAGCTTTTATTTGCTATAGAGTTTTTAATGTACTTAATACTTTTTAAATTCAGTTTCTACTAAGAGACTATTTTCTCTGAGACTGGCCTTGTGAACTGAGGATTTGCCAACTACAGTACCTTTCAAGAACATCATCCTGAGATATTCAAATTTAATATTATCTACCACAGTTTTCTCACCATCTTCATTCTTTTCACCCTCCCATGATCTTGCCCTCCGACATACACCCTCAGTCAATGCCCTCGTAAGGTTATCAATGATCTCCTCTTTGACAAATTTAATGGCCTCTCATGAATTCAGGTGACCATTCCTTTATTATTGATACTATCAGGCTTCCTCTACACCCTTCTTCATCTTGATTTCAGAGACAGAAAAATATCCCAATTCTCCTTATATTTTTCTGTAGGCGAATTCTTGGGTCTCATTATATTTTTGCTTTTGTTTGAGTTTCAATAAATGTTTACCAAGTAATCAATCCAAAAACCCTACCAGAAATTATTATTTTGCGTCCTAGCTGACACAAAAACAGATTGAGTTTAGAATGAGGTTCCATGTGGAACGACCTATGCAACTCTTAAATCTATTACATGGCTGGGAATATAAATCTTGCAAGCTTCTTAAGCAGTTTTCCCAGTATTATTGACATACTGATTATGAAACGGTGAGACTACAGAGTACTTTACTGATGATTCCCAGACTACCAGGACTGCAACCACCTTGAAATGCTCTAGAAACTTCAGGAAAGCCAGGAAAGAAGAAACACTTCATGAATGTAATAATGCAGTATAGAGATTGATTTCTAGCTTATTCTGATCACAAATACCTGCCTCACTGGAGCCTCTAACTTACACTTCCTAGTAGACAAGTTCTAGACTTAGGCATTGAGTATTTCTACATAGCAATTTCCACAAACCAGCATTAGAGGTTTAAATATCATACATTAAATGTGTCTGTCATTAAATGCACACATAAAAGAGTCAGGATGCTAGCTACGAATGAGAATGATGTTGATTCAAATTCCTTAATATGTATATATTATACATACTTTCTACATTTGAAGGTAGTGTTTCTAATGATATTTTTGTGTATATTGCCAAATTCTTCCACTCCATATTTTACAGCCTAAATTCATATGTAGTTATACTATTAAATTTTCTTTTCTCTATAGAAGGAGTTATTTAACTAACTTCCTCAGTTTCAAGAAAAATAGTAAGGCCATGGAGAATATTGATTAACCTTGGGAACCAAAAAGTAAACATAAAAACAATTTCTTACTCTAAGATCAGGCTTAACAATGTGCTAATAGCCCATAATGAAGATAGCAGATACGAGTTAATCAACCCATTAAGTTGAGATCAGAAAGTGTCAACTCAAGAGCAGTCTACTAATTTACTGACCCTTACTGGGTCAGCAAGATCTATAACCCATAGGCTGATCTTTCTACTTCTGTTAAAGTCACTGTGAAGCCAATTCAGTTTCTTCCATGATTATGATCTCTGAACTGATATGGACAGGCAGTCAACATAAAATCCATTTATGAGAATGTGCTTGGGGTTACTGAGTAATGGAATCTCAAGTTAACTGGTGAGTTAAGTGTCTGGGTAGAAGCTCTTTATGAAAGCACCAGCTTTGTGTTTCTCATGTTCACACAACTGTGAAAAGACACATGTGCAATCTTCACTGAAAGCTTCTGACTCCATTAAGTCCTGAGTTCTTCAGTTAGCTAACACTTGCTACCCATTCCCATTTCTATTCTGCTCTCTAAAGATAAACCTTGCTTCTTAAAATGTCAATGGGTCAAAAATAACTGAGTAGTGGGATGGTAAGGTGATGGGCTATACCTGCCAAATAATGAAATCAGTTTTGCTTTACTAAAGATGTAGTGAGTTGGATAGAAAGTTGCTTTGGTGTTTAAGCCAAAAATAGACATAATTCGGTGTAATCTAACAAAGGAAAACCTATCACCTAGTGTTTGCCACTTTCAAGGGGAATAAGAGAAACAGTAGGTGCATATCTTATTCCAGATGGGCCTTCCACAGGGTATAATAAAAATTATGAATCAAGAATTCATTCACTTGAATCCTTTTTTGTATAGAAAAGATATGATTGCTATGATAATGCAAAAGATTGTTTCTAATCTCAGCATTTTCTTTCTCAGGTAATAAACCAACTCACAGTACGATTTAGGATGGTGCATTAGCAACCCAGCAGCAGTGTGATGTCAGAGCCTCAAAAAGGCGTATGCAAGAAAAGCAAATAGGCCTGGTTCTGTTGCCCTGGTCCCCAGTCAAGGCTCCTGAGAAATCACCAACTCCAGTCCTGCTCTGTTCCACAGCCAGTCCTAGCTGTGATTTTCTCCCAAATAGGACACAGATATTAACTAAGGTTCTGGACAGAGGAAGCAAGAGAAAGAAAACGCAAACTGCTGAATGCACTAAACATTTTTTTTAAGTTTTATTGAAAGGAAAATTGGGGTTAACTTGAAGGACCTAAGAATTTGTTTTTCTCTTTACAAAGGAAATATGTCAGTTGCATGCCGATGATGCTGGAAGGATTCCGCAAAGGAAACCATCTTTTCTGGGAACACAGAGAGCCCCCTCTGTTGTTGGTGACATTGCCCTCTGTTTTCCCCCCTAGTTGTCGCCTTTGTTTTCCTCCCCTGTCATTACCTAACCTCCTAGTACTGCTGTGCCAACCGCAGCACAAAGACACTCGTCTAAAAAGCCTCTGTAGGGGAAAAAGAGTTCCACCCTACGGAAAAAAGTGAACCCTCGGGCCACAAAGATGAGGAAAGAGTCAGTCTTTGGAAAAGCTCTCACAGACGTGGGTGGCTTTGGCAAGGTCAGCCTTTGGAAGGTGACCTCTTGCGCTGGTTCTCAACCTTAAGGCCGGTCTGAGAGACGCAATGAGGAGCATAGAAAAGTACAGGAGAAGGGAGAGAGAAAGGGTCGGGGGGACGGCGGGTAGGATAAAGAGGGGGCACACGTAGGGGACAGCGAAGGAGGCGGCCTGTCCCTGAGGATGGAAGGCGGCGGCCCCTCCTGGGGTTACATCTTTCCATAACACCCCCGCCCTCCGCACGGGTACTTCGCGCCGGGTCACTGCTCGGCCCCACCTCCTAGACTAAGTGGCGCGCTCTGCCTGGGTCCTGGAGGCGGTGGCGCAAGGCGAGCGCGCACCGCGGCCGTCCGCTAGGCTGGCCCTGCCGTGGAGGTCCTGACCCCAAGAGGCGACAAACGAGTGGAGGGGCACTGCTCTCCACACTGCTCTGCCGCCCCCACCCCACCCCACCCCTCCCTCTGGCTGCAGTAACAGCAGCAGCAACAGTAGCAGCAAACGAACAGAGCCACAGCGTCACCGAAATCCAAGCGGAGCCCAGCTGTGCCGGGGGCAAGAGGAGGGGGCTGGGGCGATCCGGTGGGGAGGGGGCAGGGGAAGGGGGGGCTCCGGGGCCGCCGGGGGCGGGGAGGCGGCGGGGGCGGCGCGCGCGGCGGCCGCGCCCCGGGCCCGCGGCCGGCGTCACTTACCCGGCCAGGGCGCGGGGGCAGCTCGGCCGACTCCTCGGGGCCCGCGGCGGCTCGGGGCCGGCGGTCGGCGCAGCTCGGGCGCTGCCAAATGTAAACAATCCGCCATGATTTCTTTGTTTAGCTAATTGAACCTGCCGCCGTCTCGAGTCCCAGGCGCTCCCTCTCCCTTCTCTCCCCTTCCCCCCTCGCGCTCTCTTTTATTTATTTATTTGTCTCCCCCCCCACCCCGCCCTTATTCTTTCCCTCTCTTTAGTCTTAGTAGCTGCTTTTAATGGAAGTCGAGGCAGTTGGGGAGTTGGTGCAGGGAGTGCGGTGGTGGGTTTTATAAATACAGGTAAAATAATACCCAAATCTCAGGCTGAGGCGCAGTTTCTGGAAGAGGAAGAGGGTTTTCCTCTCCTTCCCTCCCTCTTCCCCCCACCCTCCGTTTATTAAAGTATCCTCTGTGGAAAGTGCCAGAAAAATGCTGTGCATCTCTGAGTCACCTTGTCTTCCCGCCGAACTCTCTAGCACCCAAGTTCGCTGACGGATTTTGGACTCTGCCAAAGTGCCGAGTTCGTCGTTTACTTTGAAAACCTGAAATATAACTGATGTCCAACTGCGGGAGGGCGCAAGGAATCGAAGCCACCATCCAGGGGGCGAAACACCGCCCTGCCGTCGGCTCCTCAGGGGAGTGACCTCTTGGCATCAGCTCAACTCCTTCAGGCAAATACCGGGTTTTTTAGACGCGCGCGTGCGCGCGCGCGTACGATCCAAACCAGCACCAACACAGTGGAAAGCTCCCAGAGGAGCTCAACTGTTCAGCCTCACTCACATTTCCATAAATTCTTGGTCCCAATAAAATTGTTGCACAAATATTGGGGAAAGAGAAGACTCTGAGCCTTGAGTTTCAAACTTCCAGGAAATATTTAGGTCCTGGTGGAAAGAAAGGCTCAGCATTCCTTCATCTGGGTTTCTGTGTAGAAATGCGTTTGATCACTAGTTTTGACTATGGTTAATGCAGGCATCATTTAAATCCTGTTCTAGGTGGATTTATGATTAGGTTCAAAGTAATCCGTGGCAGAAAATTCTAGGGTTATGTCTTCATTTATTTAAAAAACTACTCCCCTACTCTCACTAACATTTATAGCCACCATGTCGATGACACCAAAAATGATTCAATATTTTAATTCATAAGGTTTGAAAATCATCTGCATCTTGCAGTAAAACTGTGCCTTTTAAGTTATCATCAGCATTAATCTCATTAAAAGAAGTTATTTTCTTACCTATGCTAATTTCTCTTTGGGGAGAGCACTACTGAATAGAGTAATGCCCCCCTTAGAAGTTTGGACCAACCATTTACATGTCACATAATGTATTGATCATATGGATAAAAGGGTCATCTGATCCAATCAAGAGGACTGAACTAATGAGTATTTACACTGTAGCCCAGTCACTGTGGTCATCTTACCCACTGGGTCAATTAAAAATAGGTGTTCAAACATTCTGATTAAATATAAAAGAAAGGAATTGTATTGCCAGGCAATCAAAATGACCCCAATCAAATCACCTATTTACACTTGGGTCTAGCCTATTCCCTCATGCAAGTTTAACAGAAGTTATAATCATATTTTCCACATTTTTTATTTTTTAATATGCCAAATTTTACATATTTCCTCAAATTCTAGCTTATATCTCACCTTGCAAAACCCACTTTGATGTGCACCCTCTCCCAGTGATTGGACCTTATTACTTCTCTTGGCATCAGATGTGAAACTAATGAGCTTCACAACTGGTTACCAAGGCCCTTGAATAGGGACTGATATGCCAATACATGGAAGGATTTTTTTTAGTGCACAAAATTTAGGTTTAAGAAGCTATAATTTCACTTTTAAAAATTAGATTCAAGAAATGTTTTACATTAATTTCCTTAAATACCTTCCCTGCTTGTTTAAACTTATTGACGATATTGACATTAACTTTTTCTTTTTCTTTTTTAACTTTTAAGTCCAGGGGTACATGTGCAGGATAACATTAACTTTTTCTAACACATTAAATGTTGCATATCATTCCCTGTCCATCCTCAGGATGATTTCTTGTGTCACTTGCCATGAGCTGAAATTTGTTTGGAAATTAGAGGGCGAGGAGCAAGTGGAACTTCTGTTGAGCCTATTCCAAAATTCTCATATCTCTCTTTAACAGGCAAGATCATATTATATTAATAGATTTGAATATGTGTAGCTTCATACCTAACAAAATGTAATCACATACTGACACCCCTTGAAGATACATTGAAAAAAATGGAAATTCGTACATAGCAACATTTTATTTGTAGGCTGTTACGGTAGACTGACATATTGATGGCTCCTGATCAATCACACTTTCTTGCATTAATACCCTCTTTAGTACCCCCTTCATGTACCATGTACCATGGGTTTGGCCATGCACATTGCTGTGGCTACCAGAAGTTCCATAAGCACTTGCACATTGGGGTCTGTCCTTTTGGAATGCTCCCTTTTGGAATCCAGCTGCTGTGCTTTAAGGAACCCTGCTAGAGAGAGAGACCATGCAGAGGAAAAGAGTCAAGGTACCCTAGTCTAGCCACCAGCTGCGTGCAAATGCATGAGTGACCCCAGCCAACACTACATGGAATACTACATGGAATAGTAAATTCATGGAAGCATGACAATAAATAATTGTTTCAACCACTAAATTGGGGGTGCTCTGTTATACAACAGTAGGTCACTGATACAGCTTTCTCCAGTTACAAAGATTAGCGACATGGTCAGATGACTGCCGGAGGTAAGAATTTAGCAAAAAGATGTAGGGATGGCAGAAGGAAAAATCTGGAAAACTGCCAAGTAGAGCACCCCAGAACTGGAACTTCCCTTTGTCACTTCTTAGAGCTCAATGACACCATCATTCCAATGATTTAATAGCCATTTTTGGGACTGTCTTTATGTCATCACTTTAGAATGAAGAATCTTTGAGGCTGTAAAGTGAAGAAGTCAGCAGACACAGTCTCTGGAGTTCAGCTCTCCTGCCTTCAAATCCCGGCTCTGTCCCCAAGTAACAAAGCGGAGTGAATGAACAGGAGTTTTTTCCCAATTACTGAGACTTCTAGAAATTAGGCATATTTTAAAAATACACATTTTCTCCAGGAAATTGTTAAAGTAAGACCAAGAATGAGAAAAAATGAGTAACACATGGAGATTTTGGATTCAGACACAAACCCAAACATGAAAGTGGTTACCCAGTTGCCTGTAAGTTATCTCCTTGCGCTTAGGAGTCCTTGGATTTGAATTAGGCACCAAAGGACCTGGGTCCTGTAACATTTAATTTGGTTCTGTATTTGCAACTGATACACACACACACACACACACACACACACACACACACACACTCTCACACACACCCCAGTTATCCAGATTACAAGTGGGAAGGAGGCAAGAGAGTCAATGTCTCAGGCTAGTAAAGGACACAGTTGGCTAAACTTGAGAACTCGAATAATGTTTTGTTTTTAAAAGAATTATCTCAGACTCCCATATGCTCAAAAGTTTTATACAACCGTGAAACAACATTCACACATTCACAAATTGAAGTTAGTCAAATCTATAAAGTCAAGATCTAAATTACCCACATTAATGTGATATTATTTTGCCAACACTTAGTTGCCTCTAGTCTCATGAATATAGTGCTGGCCATTACTAATAATCCTGTACTTCTGTGCTGTTGTACAATGAGCTGACCACTTTCTCTTTTCAAAGCTCTGTAAAAGTTTCCTTAGCACAGTGCTCCCCTACCTCATTTGGCCACCACTTGGGATGCGTTAAGTTCCTGTCTGTTTCAGTCCAAGATAATTAAAGCTGAGCTCCTTGGCACAACTCTAGACACAAATATGGGCATTAAAATGGTGAAGAATATTTTTATTTTTTCAGATTAGCATTGAGTTAAAATACCATTTTAAGCAAGAATACTATTAGATAAATAGCACCAGGATGGCAGTCAGGGGACCTGGGTTCAAATTGCGTGTTTGACACCAATCACAATGTAACGTCATTAGAACTGTTAGATATTTCAATTTGGGAAGAGGAAAGGTCTGAGAGCCACAAAAGGATTTTTGTTAAAAATCAAAAAATAAGGGCTTTTCATAGTGAAATCTCAGCAGTGTGGCAGAGATGAGGGGACTTTTTCTGACAGGATGTCTTTTCAATATTTCTCCTGCAATGTTTGACTTCTAACTCTGCCTAGGATTAAAGCTTATCTTCATTTCTCATTCTGATTTAATTTTTCCTCCCTCAATTTTAATTCTATAAAACTATTTTTCCTAAAAATTCTGGCATATAGTAGGATTATTTTCATGGTTTCTTTAAATTATACTTTTAACTTCCAAAATATGTCTATTAGTGATGAATAAAACAACTCTATTATTATGGTTCCCGATTGTTCATTAGGTTTCCAGGAAATAAAATTTCTTTCTCTCAGTCTCAGAAAAAGTTTTGGCTTAAGAAGATTATTTTTCAAATCCCAGGAGAATAACAATTGGAAAACCCATACATTCTGTAGTTTCTGGAATGAATATAAGGTTTTAATAGGCAGAGCTATGAAATGATCAAATTCTCCTAACTCAGTTTCATTATCCTTTGTTATTTGGAAAACTGTACCCACCGCATCCGTGGCAAACTCAAAGAGAAGAATTGCAGGGTCTTGACAATGCTTCTCTCTGCATTTGGCGCAGGTAATCGGGAAACATGAATTTCCTATTTCCAGCCAGGCACTTCTTGGAATAGGTGCAGGATCATCTACAGGCGCAGCTGCTGCTGTACTTGAGGGGTCCCAGAACCCAGACACATCTCTTTGAGCAGCCAAATGAGTATCTTCCCAACCACTACCACCTCATTCACTTTTTTTTCAGCCTGAAATATTAAAGTAAGCCTAAAATGTCTTTAAAATTTTAAACTTAATTATACCCCTTGGAATCTATGCTTCGGAAAACTGTTATTTTTTCCTTTAAATAAACCAATAACTGGAATATGTACATACATACATGCACATATGCATATGTATATTAAAATATGCTTAGAAAACACAGCCTAGTATGAAAAAGAAAAATCCACTGTTCACTCTTTCCTATGCTTTTCGAAAGCTTTTCAGAATATACCTAGTGAGGTGTTGTCTGGTCAGTGATGCACACACTTGTTTGTGAAGCAAATCTTCT